AATATATTTATGTTTGTGGTTGTAATGTGACAAAATATGGAAAAGTTCAAGGGGTATGAATACTTTTGCAAACCACTGTATATGGCATACACACTTTGCTACATTTATTGGTTTGTTGGTGACACTCAGAGAGACAAAAAAGGAAAAACCATAGAAAGATAAGCTACAGCATGACACGTATCAGCGGCAGATTAAGAAGGTGGCAGATATTAACAGAGCTGGACTGAATGGCAGCACACAGACTTTAATCATGGCAGCACAAGAAAAATAGAGGCTGGGGTCCATCACACCAAACAAAACTCAAGATGCAGGTTATGCAAAGTCGTCCCCAAGTCAGTCAAGCAGGGCTGGGCGATAAGACATCATGACCAATATTAATAGAAAATAGAATGTTGGTCATTTCACTGAAGTCCAATGCAGACCCGCACGGCATTCTGGGGGATGTAGGCAGAGGAAAGGCTTTAGCCTCTTGACCTCTCACGGCCCAGCTAAGCACCCGCTTCGGATGTTAAATGGACGTTATTAGCCGTTATCAGTCCCATAGAATGGCTCCAGATTGACTTCAGACTGTCCCGACTGTGCCACCTAGTGGGTTCCCCGTCCCATAGAATGGCTTCAGACTGTCAGCTGGTTAATATGAGGCATAAAGCCACTAAGGTTAATTTTAGAGAAAATGACGTGGGCTACGATAAAGTAGACCAGACTCCGGCGGTAGCAGATTGTTGCATTCCAATGCATATGGCACTGGTAACCCACTAGGGGGCACAGTCGGGACAGTCTGAAGCCATTCTATGGGACTGATAACCGCTATTAACGTCCATTTAATGGACTGATAACATCCGAACCAGCTGAGCTAAGCAGGGTTGGTGGCATCTACTAACTCCATACAATACATAACAAGGGTGGGCAGACCTGCATGATTTACTTGTTTCCTTGCTCCACGCCTGATTTAGTGATTCAGTCACCTTTTCTAGATCTGCAGAAGCCTGGCAATCACCTATTTGTTCAAATCAGGTGTGCTTGAGCAGAGAAACAAGTAAAACATGCAGGATAGTGGCCCTCGAGGACCAGGATTCCCACTTCTTGTATATACAGTACAGCCAGATGCATTGAAGCAAGCCTGAAACATGACTCTTAACTGAGAACTGTTTTTAGTTTTAGATCTAATTTAAAGAGTTAAAACTACTTTTGTAGAAAAGTGATTGTGTTCCTAACTTGTTTGTTGGTTTTAATCATGGTCCAAGTGGTTTGAATTATGTGACTGCGGAAGCTTGTAAAGATTAAAAAGTGAACCGATCTATAGTTATAAAAGTTAATTCTCATTTTTGTGGTTGTAGGTCAGTGAGAACTGGAACTACTTAATTATCAGGACAGAGAGTCTTACTACCATTGTTAAAAGCTCCAGTTTTTCATAACTCTGTTCAAATCTTTCCAGCTTTTTACCTCGTTCTCATTTTTTCTATCTGCTCCTTCTTTTCTACTCATTAATGCATCCATGTAGAGAACAGTTTTAAAACAGTCGACAACACTTGTGAATAGAAGTTGGCTGCAAAGAGAGGGTCCACATCAAATCAACGGCCTTTGGCCTCCCTGGACATTAATGTCAAATACAGACTTTGTGTTAAAAAGATAAAACTTTTAATCTGAGACACGCACACACGAGGGTAGAGAGAAGCCGAGTTCCTTCAGTTTGCTGACATGCGCACACATGCAAACAGAGCCGGCTGTGATTAATTAGGCCATGTGGAATAGTAAAACCATACAGTATAAAGACATTGTCAGGAATCTGAGTCTCTTCATCCTTTCTTCTTTTGCAGTTAATTGGCTCTAACTGGTCAGCACTGTAGCGTCACACGTGCACACATACACACACACACATACACACACACACACAAACACAAGTATATTTACTTGATTACAGTACTTAAGTCATTTTTTGAGGATCATCCATCCATTATCTATTCCTGCTTCTTCCTGTCAGGGTCACGGGGGGTCACTGTGTGAGGGGCGGGGTACACCCTGGACGTCCATTTATGATTTTTCTTTTTAATCATAACTTTTACTTTTATTTTGTTACATTCAAAACATAAAAATTATACTTTTACTACTTTGCGTTAAAATTTAACACATAGTCACACGTTACAAATTTAAATATGAGCAGAACTCATCATGAAAAGATTTGTTTATGAACTCTAAAGAAAATTATGTGTTGAATTTACTTAACCGAGTTATGTCAACTGGTTTCACTAAACAGAGTTGGGTAAACAGAAATGTACACATTTTGTGTAAATTGCTCAGCTTACTCAACTTTTTATTCTGACTGATTAAAACAATATACTGTATAAAGAAAAAGGTTTTTTGGCTATTTTTTTTCCGAAATGGTGTGGCAGGATTAGGTTTTCAATTTTGGCCCCTTGTAAAAATGAGTTTGACCCCCCCTGAGCTCAAAGGTCACACCTTTTATTAAGAAGTTAGGTCTTGTTTATTTGAACTGAAGAGATTCTTGTAAGAGTGGCAGTGCTGTGGTGCAGTGGTAAGGCAGTCGACCAGAATGTCACAGGTTCAGTTCCACGCCATGCCCATATGTCGTGGTGTCCTTGAGCAAGACACTTAATCCCTTAACTTCTCCCCCCGGGTGCTGGCATAGCTGCCCTTGGCTCCGTGGATGTATCTCACCTGTGAATCAAATACAGAGTGCAAATTTCATCATTGACATGCGTTGGTGACGATACAATACCTAGCACACTTAAGAACCCAGTTAGTTGTGTTTTTGTTTTGTTTTTTGTTGTTGTTTTTTTTTTAAATTAAAATCTCATCATAACCATAATTACAGGCTTAGGAACAAAAATACTTGTTGTGATGTGTTTTTATTTTAAATCTAATAGCTTAACTCCAAGATGCCCATGAGAATATGAAAAGTGTCTGAATGCTCAACATCTCTTCTGTTTTCTTTCTGCTCCACAGTCTTTATGGCAGACACATGCAGGCTAATCCAGAACCTCCCAAAAAGAATAATGATAAAAGCAAGAAGATCAGCCGCAAACCCCTGGCTGCCAAGAACAAGTGAAGAGGAAACGACAGAAGCTTCACAGCCAAGCTTACTGCATGTGCCTTTTTTTATTATTATTATTATTTTACATGGTAATGCAGGAAGCTTCTGCATGTATACACGTGCTTATGCATATGTAGTTTTCAGTATTGTGTCTAATACTTGTATTACATATACTTGTACTAGACAACAGAGCTCACATCAAAGAACTTTTTTCTTCACTGCTATAAAGAGTAAAAAGCTGGCACTGTGACACAAACACAAACCAGGACATATAAGTGGATAATTTTCCCTGGAAAGACTGATATCAAAGGTTTGGCCGGGTAGGAAAAGTTAAAATTGTTCTAGCTTTTATTTGTAGTTGGAAGTTTGAACAGATCAGCTGTATCGACAGTCTCTGATCAAACTTCACCTCCAGTCTAATATGGCTGCTCTGCACGTTGAACGTGGTAGCTGCAGTGCTAAATGTTACATTTTGAATCTTACTAAAATCTCTATTAGAGCATATTGCTGTCATGTTTTCATAATTAAAATGCAGAAAAAAGACATTATTACTAGGGGTGTAAATCACCAGCTTTATAACAATACAATATATCGATTTGTTTGGACGATCATACGATGTTTCTCGATATCACAAAATCTGTCATGATACAATTTTAATTGGATGCACAAATCTGCAGTCAATATAATGAGATTTCATATTCCCATCTAACACAATCATTGAGCAATAATTGTTAGATGGACATACACTGCTCAGCCAAAATAAAAGTCGCCACCTGGATTGAACTAAGGTCTATGATGTGGGGTTGCTGCAGTTGGTCTAGGTTCAGCAACAGTTTGTGCTCAAAGAATGAGGTCAGCTGACTACCTGAATATACTGAATGACCAGGTTATTTCATCAATGGATTGTTTCTTCCCTGATGGAACAGCCATATTCCAAAATGACAATGCCAGGATTCATCTGGCTTTTATTGTGAAAGAGTGTTCAGGGAGCATGAGACATCATTCTCATACATGGATCGGCTCCACAGAGTCCATTGAGAATCTTTGGGATGTGCTGGAGAAGGCTTTGCACAGCGGTCAGACTGTACCATCATCAGTGCAAGATCTTGGTGAAAAATGGAAATAAATCTTGTGACATCGCAGAAGCTTATCGAAACAATGCCACAGCAAACGTATGCTGTAATCAAAGCTAAAGACAGTCCAATTAAATAGTAGAGTGTGAAACTTTTTTTTTTGACCCGGCAGTGTCGATCCACATCGAACATGACCATGGATCAATGCAATCGTTTTGCCTTGTCATTGAATCATTAATTATTTAATCGATACAGATGTCGATCATTTAATGTTGATGTGGATCAATGTATTGTTACACCCCTAATTATTATTACCTTGTGTTGCTACTGCTAGTTTGTCAGAATACAATAATTGGCACATCCTACTGAGTTTTCTGACTTGGATGTGACATCATTCCTAAATCCAAATTCTCACCTGCGAGATAACTGAACACAAGGGGATTATAATAGACCCTAGACAGGCTGTTGACAGACCCTTCTGTGTCTGAAGTCATTACATTTCAGAATGTTGTACAAATACATAAACATGATGATGTTCATTTTTTTTACCTTTATTTAATGTCAGCTGCTTTTGGCTTTGCCTTTTGATCTTGTTTCTATTTTGCTAATTAACCATAAATGTTCTCATCAGAGGTAATACAGTATTTAAAAATAATTTCTTGTAATCTTTTTTTTAATCATTTTACAGCAGATGATTTCCTTTAAAGTATCTCATTGGACTGTGACTGTTGGTCTGGAATGTCTAAAACATTGGAGTCCCAGAGGCTCACAGTCTTGTCCCAAATTGCAAAACTTGTCTGGCCCGGTTCTGGCCCACACAATACACCAACACTCTGCCTAGATACAGCCAAGAATGACAGTCCTTTGGTGGTCCAGATGTGGATTGCCAGACATGGCCAAAAATGGTCCAGGACCACATGAAATAAAACACAACTGGGCCAGTCGTGCCATCATTGCCAGACCTGCCCATATGCAGTTCACAAACTACTTGCCATCCCAGCAGTCAGCCAGTAGAGCCAGCTTGACACCAGTCTGCTATGTGGGGTAGCTTAGGTTTAGAACATATTAATAAGAAATTCTCTTACAGGGTCGTCATGGGTATGTCAGACTTGTCTCAAGAACTCCAAAAACTGTTAAGGTGTAAAATAAATAAAAACACCATGGATGATAAATAATTTCAATCTGCCTAACTTCATTTCTAAACTGTAGTCCAGTAGATTAAATCATAAACAGTTTCCAAGATAAGAGTTTTGTCAGCCTTGTCCATAAAATGGAACATGATTTTCAAACATAGGCTCACAGCTTGTCACTTGGTCACCAACACTCAGAATTCAGTGAGACTGAAACAAAGTGCAGAATTTCTCATGGTTTTGAGTCTCCAGCAGTCACAGCCCAGATATACTGGCTTTAGGGTACATCAACCCTTCACCTGTTGAGTCTAGGAATTGATCATGATTGTGATCTTGGCAACACTGTAAAAGGTTATTATTTTGATTTTATTTCTTTTACACACCATATTCCTGGCTTTGTTGGCATCTATTTTAATATGTTGTTTGTTTACTTATGACACCTAAAGTAAACTCAACTTCAGTAGTCTTTTCTATCTAAATGTACCTTCAGCATTGATAAAACCACACTGATTATTAAAGCATGCATGATTTCTACATGACGATGTGTTCATTGTAATCTGGTTTCCTCCCACAGACAGAAAACATGACTGTGAGACTGTGTAGGGGTTCCCCAAAGGGGAAATAAACATTTCCACTTGTCTTTGACTCTGGTTTAAAAAATTCTTTCTCAAAAATGACTTTTTATTTTCTTTAATAAACAAAATAATAATGTTCTTTATGTTCTTAATTTATATTCTCTTTTTAACTCCTAGTTATTCTCATTTTATAAATCAAATTTGTTTAATGAATAATCTTTTGCATTCTTCAAAAAAAATGAAAGAACACACCATGAGAAAATGGTTGAAATGTCCCTTTACCTGTTTTACTCAAATGCTTGTTTATTGGTGACTTTAACTTGTCCCTGAAAAAATGGTTTGTATCGTTTGTCACTATGGCCCTGCGGTGGACTTGTCACTTGTCCAGGGTGTAGCCCACCACTGGTGGATATGGGCATCAGTGACCCTGAAAGGAAGTAATGGGTAAAAAAAAAAATGTGTTCATTTATTAATATGGGTTGGATCATAAATAGAAATTATTATTCCAATTAAATCAACAGATAACTTCACAAGATGAGGTGTCCCATACAGTATAATAAAGGAGTCACAAAGTGAAGCTTCATACAGAAAGTTAGCTTTAAGAGCTAATGATCAAATTCCCTTCATAAATGATCTGCTCCAACCTAAAGTCACTTCTATCTGTATGCCTGTTAGTAAAACATCTCAAAGCTAAACCACCGGACAGAATGCAATGAAACAAAGTAATCACTAAATGTGCCACAATTCAAGATGGCTGCCACAGATGATTCACTTTGGCACAAAAATGGATAGAACTTGGTCGGCTGAAAGGTTGAACTATTTGGCCTTTAATTGAACTTCATATTGTTTCTGTTCTCACTTCATCTCCCCACGTTACAAACACACAATGAGTCTAACTGAATTGACTTTTCAAACAGTGATTTTTAGGTGACTAGTGTTAGGGCAGCCCGGGCTTTTGGAGTTTCTTCTAATGAAGGTGGTGAAAAAAGGTTTGAGAATAAAGAACCTACTATGAATAGAGCTTTACATGAAGGGAAAACTGGTGAAAAATGGAAAAAGTGGTGATTTTTTTGTAATTCTGAAATGGCTGCACTGTCACAGTTATTTTTATCATGTAACCATTCATTCTTTTCCTAAAACAAGAAGAGAAGAATTGTCTCAAACCAGAACCAGTGTTTTGTAAAAGAACATCCTCTTGCCTAAAGACTGCTGGCATTAAAAAGGTCCCAAATACCATTTTTAACATGTTCCACTCCTGATTTATTAACCAACACTGTGGTCACTAACCCAGCTTGAAAGAGTTTAACTATATATTTTAAACAACTTCTAAATTAAAATTTTGGATTCAAGAGGATTTTCTACCTAAACAACCATATTTGCATAATTGTTTTCTTTTCTGCTTGCTTTACAGTAGTGATGTAATGCACTGCAGCAGTTTCAGAAAGCACTTATGCTGACATAAATATGATAAAAGTGTCTCAGATTGGACTCTTGTGAGGCCAGTTCGGCCATTCATCATCTGTCCCACTGACAATTGAGTGAAATGCCAATACAGCCACCTCCTGTTACCTTCACATGTCCACTGTGGACATCTGGAGGACTCATGGAGACTGAGAAGACCAGTTTGATTGAAGCGGTAAAATAAATAAAAATATCACCTGACCAAGAATTGACATGTCTGAGTCAACACACTAATTATTATTATTATTATTATTATTATTATTATTATTATTATT